ATACCACCGATTGGCATCCAGAGTGCGCCGTCCCACTGACTCGTGCCACCGTATGCTGACGTGATCAATCGTGACGGCCAGGGGTCTGGAATTGGCGAGTCAGGATAGGACTGGGTCCAAGCCAATGAGGGGCGCCAAACATGCAGTTCAGGAGGGGAAGACACAAGGCCATACACTACCTGAGTGGAACCAACGACCAGATCGCCCACCAGTTGATCGCAGCGGTGAGCAACCACGGCAGAGGCTCCGGCGAACGGAGCCACCTAGGGGGGAGGCCTCGCAGCACGACGAGAACGCGCAGCCGAGACTCGCGGCCTCCATCAAGTACCTGCGACGCAGCACCAACATGGGGCGAGGCACACCAGATTGGAGGTCCTTGTGGGGGAGGTGGACGGAAGCACATCACCGATCAAGCAGGTATCTACGGCAGTCGAAGATCCCTCTCAATTCAGAGCAGCCACGTGTATTTATTTCGGCCACCCGGTTGGAGGCGGAATACGCGGAATACACGTCCACGGGCACGGTTCAAGTGGCTGCCCCTCGGCAGCGAAGGGGTCAACACGACAAGGACAGAACGCCGTACCGTGCTAACCGGAGCCAGCCCAGTCGGGGCCGCCACTGGTAGCCCATTCCAGGCTCAAGCCCAGGGCGGTACTGGACCTACGCGAGCCCCCCGAGCGCCGACCCATGGTCCTTCCAGTTCTCAAAACTTCAGATGAGGCCATGCACCATCGCTGGCTAATGCGGCCGCGCGTGCACTTCGGCGCCGAAGTGGCTGCTTGGGTGGACGGGCAGGCGGATTACTCCTTGACAGCACCGATCAACCATTGGAACAGCGGATCTGTGTCGCTGCTGACCTGTTCCCCTCCGAGCAATGGGTTACCAAGGCAGAAGACCCCCGTGTGTGGGAGGTGCTTTGGAGGCGCATCTGCACACTTCGCGTGTATGGGGGCTTCGTTGGGTGTATCCGCTTATCCGCACCAATTCTCCGCCTGGTGTGGCGCAGAGGGTCATTGCCAGAGAAGTTGCGAACATCGGATGGAATCGGCTCCTCCTCGAGGCTGCTCGCGGCATGATAGTGCGACCATATGTGAACTGCGGACTTGCTACGACAGCGGGCTGTAAGGGTTGCCTGGCTAAGCGGAGGATCCCTCGTGAGGAATGGGCACCTGGGCGAAGCGCTCCGCTCTGCGTCATGTGTAATTCGAAGGAAGGGGAGTGCCACTTCTGCCGTGGCCC